TTCGAAGGTAACGAAGGTATAAATTAAGTCTCCCATTATTTAAAATAATTAAGCAAGGTACTTACCTTCTGGTATGGAGAATTTTTAATTTGAGGAGCTAATTAATTATAGAGCACTTTTAAGAAGATTATACATAATTAATTAAATCGATCCAATTCTTGAAGGAACTAGTGCTAAATACTGAAAAAGAAAAGAAGAAGAAGAAGAAGAATAAAAAAAAAAAAAGTAAGAGAATGCCTGCAAGACTAGAAATAGAGACAAGACACAGTTGTACTTGGAAGTTTCTAACATAATTAAAAGATCATCTTCAGGAACAGATGTAGAAATTCATATGAAGGGGGGGGAATTTATATAGAGGGGTTTTTTTATAATTTCAGTGAGGACAATTTCAAAATTTTATGGGCATAAATGCAAAAAAGTACAAAATTAGAAGTGAAAATGTAAAAATAAAAAAATTCAGTGGGGGCATTCGCCCCCACTAAGCCCATTGTAGATCCATGCCTGATCATCTTGCATGGTCTCATCATTTGTTCAATATATTTGTTTAAGATGCAAATCATGTTTATATTGCATACAGGAAGACTGGTTATGAAGTAATTTCATGGCTAGATAGCCTTTATAATCAATTATGCACACATATGTCACTAAATTAAAGAATGAAATATTGCGGTTTTTTTTTTTTTTTTTGTTAGGTTAAAGGGTAAGCTTGTACATAGAAAGGATATACATGGAGCCCCAAGAAGGGGAAATACATCGCAACACAAATAACAAATTCATACACTAACTACAACAGCAAAAGAACAGCTACCACAGGCCAAAGCATTGGTTACGGTTCAAACTCAAAAACCTCAATACCACCCTATGAGATCAGCCATGAATACACACGTGATGAGGAACAAGACTGCACAAATAGGTTATGGAGGCCATGTTCAGTTGTGATTATTCTAAGATCATCACTCCTCTTCAACTTAATTGCTGCTAATTGAGATCTGATGCTGGATTTTATCATGGAAATAACATGATGAGGGGTATTGGAGACATTCCTGAATGCTCTTCCATTTCTTTCTTGCCAAATTAAGAAAGTGAATTGCTGCTGACAGTAGGAGTTTGTGAATCAAGAACTTTGTTGAGGTCCAATAAGCTGAACACCAGCTAATCAAATCCATCCAGCAGCTTGGTAGAATGTAGAACCCTGCAATATCTTGTATGAAGTTCCAAATTTGTGAGCTAAATGACATTGGAAGAACAAGTGATCCATTGATTCCATCTCAGCCTTACAAAGGTAGCACCTGTTAACATAGTACTTGTGCATCATCGGTTTAAAGTCAAGTGTGTAAAATCTTACCCTCACTGCTAACCAAGCAATACAATTGTGTTTGGGAATATGCATGGTGTTTGAACCAAATAAGCTCATGCCAAATAAAGGTTGGTGAAGGTGGTGCAAAGTGTGCAGTGGTATGAGAGAATGAGTAAACCTGAGAAGGACAAGGCAACCAAACAGTACTATCTTGTTGTTTAGAGGGTTGAGGTAAGGAGTATAACTGAGAAAGAAAGTTCAGGGATTGGAAAAACTGTGAGTAGTTCAAAGATGGGGGGACCAACCAATGAGTAGTGGAAATTAGGCTATCAACTAAGGTCTTAGTGTCATTCAGCCCTATCTGTTGAATAATATATTGGACCATTAGGGAGCCAGTAATCAACTAAGGAACTGAAATATTACGATTGATCGAGTCGACAGAGAATTGTTCAATTATAGACTTTGTTCCAATTAAAATTACTTCATGGTGATATCATTTCCAACTTAATTTGAATTATAAAACAAAATAAGGGATTGCCAGTCAATGATATTGCTAGCTACTCCATATGACTTCTTACTTATCAACTTGTTATTTTAATTTTTTTAAATAAAGAAATATATCTATTAATTTGCAATTAGCTAAATGACTGAGTATTAAAATTAATAGGTTTCAAAGAGATCAAATACATTATCAAAGCTAACCCTGAACCAAAGAAACTGCAGTTTCTTGACTCGGTTCAAGCCAGCATCATGTGCTCTTGTTGTGATGCATTGAAAATCAATCATAATAACTGTGAAGTGTTTCAATCAATCACCACAGCAGTGAAATAAAATAAACTAAAAATTATTTATGAAGTAAAAAGTTTCAATCAATCGCAACAATTGTTTTGATTTTGATTTTTTTTATTTTATAGTTGTTGTGATTGGTTGAAATATTATATATATATATATTAGAGATTTGTTGTGATTGGTTAAAATATTCTTTTAAAAAAAATTCAAAGTTGCTCTAATTGGTTGAAACAATTTTTTTTATTATTATTATTTCACAACTGTTTTGACCTTCTTTTTCTTTTTTCTTTTTTTTTGTCATTTTCTTGGTTGAAGTAAAATATTTTATGTGTAAAATCTTAACAAAAATATTGCAAAAAGGACTTCTACTTATAAAAAAATTCACGTATTGGGCCTCCTCGGTTTACTTGTATCCTTGGATTCGCGTGTTGGGCCTTCATGTCCCTATGGGTTTTTTTCAGCTAGGCCCAACCCAAAATAAATGAATCTAACCCATTTGAAAACAGAGCCCATGGGTTTTTGTCTTTGCACTTTTGTCTCAAATTTTTATTAACACCCTAAAATATTGGCCTCGTGAAAACTGAAACCTACCTTCCCTGTTGAAAAATACAGTAAATGAGATACATGATATATCACTAGGGTAGGTGGTTTGGCCTTTGTTAGACCTTACTAGCTTCAGTGAGGTATGTTTCCTATTTCTCTTTGCCCCTTTTGATCTGTTATATGTGTGTAATATGTTTATGCAACGTTTAGTGTTATATGGGAAACTTGTTGGGAATTATGTCTCAGATTCCCGTTCTGATTAGATTTTTATTTACAGTTGTATTTTGTTTTACTGGCAAAATGGGGAAATTTTGTAAATGTGTATTTCAGTGATCTGTTTGGTTTTTTGTAAGTAATAATTGATTCATTCATTTGAACTTGTATGAGAAAATGATGGGAGATCAGTGTGATCTCAGAATCTGGATCTGCCTTGGTTGTAATTGTGTGTGTGTGTGTGTGTGTGTGTGTGTGTGTTTGTGTGTGTATTATATATATGTTGTTCCATTGTCTAGTTGTATATGGTAAAATGCATAAACTTTGCAATGCCCATTTTAGTTTTCTCTGGCTCTTTCCAAGAAATTATGCTAATGGAAGTGATTGTGGTATGCTCAATTTCTTTGAATGTAAAATATTTTTCAGAAAATATTTTTTTATTTTTTTGGTGTTTGTTTGTCATGCAATATTTATGAAGAAATTTTTTTTTAAAATTTAACAAAAATAACTTACCCATTAATTTTCGATAAGTTTGTTCACAAAGTCCATCCGATGGACTCAGATCTAAACATTTGTCAAATATCCAAAAATAAAATATTTTTTCCAAAAAATATTTATTTTACAACCAACCGAACCTAGCCCTTCCATCTTGTTTTCATCGATCTTTACAAAAATATTCTAAATTTGTAAATTCTTTAATATCGATATAGAAACTAGAATACCAATATTAATTAATACTGTCATTAATCACAGGGATACTCGGGTGGCGGAACCACTCTCTCCGTGTGAGGATTACTCCAAATCATTATTGAAGTATCTTAAACCACCATTTGATTCACTACCTTATCTTGGGGTTTAATGAATTATTGTTGAGTCTACTCGTCAACTTGTTTTTTCTTAGCATTACAGTATGTGAAATCAGTGTAAACTTTAACTCAGATCAACTACAAATTAATGTAAGTTCTGTGTATAAAAATAAATAAATAAATAAATAAATAAAATAGATGCCCAATTTAAATTTAGGATTTAAACTTATTTTACACATTAGCTAGGCCTTCAAAATAAGAGCAATTGGGCTATCATTCTCCAAGTTTAAGCAGGAACAATCCGCTAAAAGTTACATGATCAGAGAGCAGTTACTTCGTACTATATTACATGGACACTTCAAAAGTAGTGAAGTATCCGTGTTGGACACGTATTGTTCGAACATGGGTATGGGATATATGTGTCCGACACTTTTGAGTGGACATATAGTTAAATTCCATATCTAATCATTCAGTTATATTATATTATTAATTTTAAATGAATTAAATGCCTTTATTAAACACTATATTAGATAAAAACATTACTTTATTATAGAAAATAAGATAAAATAATGAAATAAAAGGAATATTTAGCGGTGTCCATGTGTCATTATGTTTATAAATCTAAGATGTCAAACGCATGGATACATATCCGTGTCCAACACACGTACTCAAGTTCAGGTAACATAGACTTCGTATGAATGCGGCTTTTATAGGAATGATCTTTGACAGACAATATTGCTCTCCACCATAATAACTAGCCAGTACCAGCATTCAACACCTTTGTATAATTCAATCTAAACAACTTGATTTGTACAACAAGACATGACTTCCTTTTACAGCACTCAAAGATATCTGTAGTTCTCTACGTACCCCAAATACATGTATACAACTTTTTAACTCAGAGCTTCTTTCATCAACAATATATTTTTTACACACATAATATTCCTCTGGAAACTAACTAAGATTTCTTTAAAATTCTAGACATAATATCCAAACCTTGAAGTTTACATCAAATCTTGTTGACAATTTAAGATACAACTATGGTTGGAGGGTACGGTTTGACAAATTAAAGCTTGCTGGCTGAATTACAAAGAAAGAGTAACTAAACCTAGTTGGTTAATTTTTCTCCCGCCTTGTTAAGATCTTTTACATGCATGAATTAGGATCTTTTCCAGTGCACTGAATTCCAGAGCATAGGAAATGGTGGAGATCACTTCATACGTTTGGACCGTACAATGCACCGGAGATAATTCAACATTGTTTCAGATACCAACAAATTATATCAGATGAACATCTACTTAATATACAGAAATAGACCCGACTAGACACCAAATGTTAACCACAGGAAATATTCAAGGAGCAAAGTCATCTGTCTCGTGATCCATCAACTTCCAAGAGCCATCAGTCTGCTGAACCATGCCCTTGTTCTTCTCACACCACCACGAAACTGGCACGCAATACTCATCCTTTAGAGCATCCGTTCCTTTGTTAACAAGCGCAATATCGCGATTAACTTCCAATTCAAATCCTCCCTTAGACCCTTGTGTTCCTGCAATCCCATGCATGTAAGCCTCCAAGTTATGCCAACTTTGGACATTTCCAGGACTCTTCAGATATTTAGACTTTGTAGTATCAATAGCCAACTCTTCTCCCACATCTGAGTAGCCTATAAATGGATATTTTGGAACAACATCCAGTGCATTATGGACTCGCAAGACTCGTAGATTGTTCAGTCCAGAGAAGACCTTCTTGAAGCCCGAGTCTCCAACCCGAGGGCTGGCATATACAAAGGCTGTCACAGGACAGGCCTTGTTTGGTTGATCTCTAGGCATGTTCAACCCATTGGAAACTATATCAACTGCGTTTAGTGTTGCAATCGCTGCACCCAAGCTGTGCCCCACTATAGTTATGCTGATTTCTTCATTCTTATATTCTTCCACTAGTCTCCTAACCTCACCAAGAACCTGAATTTTAATATACAAGAAAACAATGGTTTTAACCTTGGTATTAATTTCCAGGCGAAAAAAATAGTTTTAACTATAGCATTATCTTTTGTTTGTAATAGCTTAAGAAATACTATTATATGTTATTAAGCTATATAAACAGTAAATTAATTAAAAACTTAAAACCTACCTGGTCTCTTGCACTTGTCTTGTTGAACGGTGACCTTGGATCATCTGAAGTGTAAATGGAGTACCAGCCTCGGTGCACCTTAGAGTCACTATCCTTTCCAAATACTTTTGGAGCTGAGACTAGAAGAAATTCCAAATCATTAACCCATTCCAAGGCCTGAATTGTTCCTCTCCAAGCAACCACAATATCTCTCCTCCCTAACGCAGCCTTCCCTTCATCTGTGGCCACCGCGACATACCCCATCCAATTTGATTCCTTGCTCCATGCCTCCCTTGATAACGACTTTATAAAGAAGGCCTCAGGGACTTGAACGGATGATGTTGCGTAGAAATATTTGGTCACCCGATACTTGAATGGATTGCCTTTGTCTATACTCACTTTGGAAAAGAAATCCTTCTCTGTATACCGGCTACTTCCTGCATACCTAGACACCTTCTCAGAGATGAAGGCGTCAGCAGTTGCTTGAGCCATTTCACCATAGTGAATTAAGTAACGACGAAGATCAATGTCTAGAGGATCCAATAAGTCCTCCCAGTTGTTCTCGCCGCTGAGATGCCTCCATTTTTTGGCAATGCTATCCATCTTATATATGCTTAACAGTTTGCTTATACTAGCTAGATGAAGTTGTGAAGATGGGGTTTTGGTGCATGCTTTATATACTGAGCTTCAGAGATGTTGAACTACTATTTTATTTTTGTTATATTGACTTCTTGTTGTATATGCTACTGTATGTTTCAAAGGAAAATATATGTGTATATATATATCCTATGTTAACCATGAAAACTTAACGTGTCTCCTTCCACTGAGTTCGTCAATGGTTGGATATGGTAAGTTGTCTAATAACTTGGGCAAATTATATTATTAATTTTATAAAAGAAAATTCACTTTAGCTAGGTATGGATTGGACCCGAGAGCCGTGATCATGATGATGATTAAGGTTAGGTGATGACCATGCATGTTTATGAACAACTATTCTTGATCCGAATCCACACTACCCCCAACCCAAATGAAGGTCATGCTACTTAACGTGTAAGCACTTCCAATTCTTTTTTTCTTTTTATGTATTTACATATGTGTGTGTGTGTGTGTTTTTTTTTTTGTATGATTTTTATATAAATAATATATTGATAGGAAATATGCTCTGTTCACAAGAAATATCATGTTATCAGTGTAACCAATTATATGTGTCAGCATTAAAATTAGATACCATGTTATCAATATTCCAAGAACATTACAAAAACTACGTCCTAACAGCCAAATAAGCAGATGACAAAAATATAAGAATATACACCCAATTCTTGCAAACATTGCATGTTCAAAACCATCAAAATCATCATGAATGAAGCTACTGCCGAAGAAGAACAATTATAAAATTGGGTATGGAAAAAAAAAAATAGTACTAATTCTTGGCATGCATTTCAACAGTTAATTCAATTATTTATCCTTAAAAACTAATATTTGATTTTTTTTTCCGGTAACAAAAATTTCGTTTGACATTGTATTTAGTTGTTTTTTTTCTTCCCATAACCAAAGTAACGAACGCCCTTCTTCCAGAGTTGTGCCTGTGCAGGTGCCATGCTAACATAAACTGTTATCTTATTACAGAAAGAAATCATCCATTATTGAAACAATGTCTCAAGGCAATGATGATGATGACGATCATCCAGAATATCTTGTTAATTTGCATATATCTACTTCAATGAGTTTTACCATACCCATGAGTTTTTTGGTTGAAACAATGTCTTAAGGCAATGATGATGATGATGATGATCAAGAATATCTTGTTAATTTGGATATATCTACTTCAATGAGTTTCACCGGACCTATGAGTTTTTCGGTTATTAGTCGTGAACACAGTGATGTAGAGAGGAATGTGTTTCGAAAATAATTTCTCAAAGACTGAAAAAAGTCTTTGCTTTGAAGTATTACGGAAATATATATATATATATATATATATATATATATAGGAGTATGTTAGATTAGGAGATGCTTGCAAGTTACATAAGGTAAGTATTGCAATTTATTGAATATTGTGGTTACCTTTTTTTGTTAGATGATGTTTGAACTTTGAATAGGGCAATTCTAAGGTATTCCACGAAACCTCCAATTTGAATTCAACCTTATTTGATGTCCCTGTAATGTAACTTAGCTGGGGATGTTTATGAAGAAAATGTGAAAATGATTAGCCAACTAATTTAGATAGCTAGGACTTAAATACTAATCCTAATTTGTGATAATTGTTTTTTAAGTTGGATGATACAATTTCTTAAGGCAATGATGATGATGATCGAAAATACCTTGTTAATTTGCATAGATCTACTTCAATGAGTTCCATGAGACCTATGAATTTTTTTGGTCATTAAAGTCGTGAACATAATGATGTAGAGAGGAATGTGTTTCGAAAATAATTTCTCTAATACTGAAAAAGTCTTTGTTTTGAAGTATTACCAAAATAATAATAATAGGATCGAGTATGTTGGATTAGGAGATGTTTGCAAGTTACAGAAGGCAAGTATTGCAAGGTATTCCACGAAACCTCTAATTTGAATTCAACCTTATTTGATGTCCCTGTAATGTAACTTAGCTTATGGGGATGTTTATGAAGAAAATGTGAAAATGTGAAAAAGATTAGCCAACTAATTTAGATAGCTAGGACTTAAACACTAATCCTAATTTGTGATAATTGTTTTTAAGTTAGATGATTTTCTGGAAACAGCTTATTAGTTGAACTTCTAATTCAACCATTAGTTGGCTTATGGGGGATTGTTTTGAGAATAGGGTGAGAAAATGATGTGTAACTAAATTTATATTACTAAACCCCCACTAAGTGCCAGCAAAGAATTCCATAGCAAAGAATTCTCATGATGCTTTTTATGTAGTGGGGGTCCCTCTTGTCTTGAAGCTAACCCCTTTTCGGTATTAAATTTCACGTTCGGATTGGAATCTATATAGGGTCGATAATGGTTTGAGAAACAAGTAATGTGTAGTATCTAGATTGGTTAACAGACTGGGCTCTAAAAAAACTGTTTCGATCCGTAAATCAATTCGATCTGCTCTGCTTAATTTATACAAATATATGTTTATATGGTATATAGTATATAGTATATACATTATTTAAATATATTTTTTATTCTTTATTTATTTTTAAGTATTTCTTTTATTCTTTATTTATTATTTTATTGGACCATCATTAAAATATTATATTGAGCCGTCTGGAAAAAGCCAAATCCATATAATCGAACCCATCCAATCCGAGATATTTCACGTATCGGATCGGTTCGGTTCGGCTCGAATTGATGCATTCTACATATTGGTTCGATTTCAAATTTAAACAATCTGTTGAAACTAGATTGGATTGAATTTGACCCCTAATCTGATCTGATATGGATCATACCTATTGCCGTTGCATCTTAGGTGGATGATCTATTATCGTGATCCTCTCTAATTATATTCAAATTTTGTTTTTGAATGGCACTGGGCTTTTTGACTCGGTTTGTTTTGACATAATATTTTTGTCATTTTTGGATTGGATTGGAATAGTTCATAATATTTTAGATTTTTTTGCCCAAATTCGCATCACCAAATTGGTGATATTGTGTATTTTGGTACTGTTGCAAAGGAACAAAAGCAAATTTCTGAATTTGCCAAAATAAATTTTCATTACCTAACATGGTTCTGAATTTTACCCAAAACACTTACAACAAAAAGATTGTTTTGATACTAACAAAAAAACATAATACTTAAAACATATCACATGCGGCCCTATATTAACCCAAAATTTAACTTGTATCTTTCAGGACTTAATAAATTCTTATCACACTCTTATTATAGTCTTTACTAATAGTAAAACTATTAGTTTCCGCCCTTGCTTAGCCTTGGTATCTCATGAAGCATCATGCTAAGGTTCAACTGCCTTAATGCAAACAATTCCTTAAGGGTCACCCAAGATAAAAATCCATGACTTACTCGGGATATCCAGATTAATATATAAAAATAATAATAATAATAATAATAATTGTTGCGAAAATTGATGAGACTCAAAATTTCATGTATTGAGCCTTCTCAATCTACTTGTTTTCCTGTGTTGGGCCTTCTTAAGTATGGAACAGATCTACTTATAAAAGTCATATAGGTTAGTATTGGGCTTCCTCTTTTTCCATTTACTTGTTTTGTTTATTTTTCGGTCCCTCTTGGGCTTACGAGGTTGGGCTTCCATATTTTTTTTTACCTTCGCTCTGTCTTAATTTATATCTGCTTGTCCTTGTATAGGCCTTCTTGGGCTTGTTTTGGTTTGTTGTTCCGTCTCCTCTTGGGATTGCGCGGTTGGGCTTCCATGGGTTTGTGTCTTTGCCCTTTGTCTTAATTTATTTCGGACTTGATCTTTTGCCATCTATGCAGGGGCGCAAATCACCTGCTGTGTGATTCCCATTCTGTTTCTTACAGTAAGCGGTAAGTGGCTTTGGTTTGTCCACGTTTTACTCCACTTAATAGACACTAACACTGTATTCACTATTTATAAGTAATATCACAGAAGTCTAAAAGTAATATCACATAGTCTAAAAAATAACATCACCTTCCCATGCTGTTTCTTACAGTGAGCGATAAGTGACTTTGGTTTGGCCACGTTTTACTCCACTTAATAGACACTAACACTGTATTTGACAATTGCGCCACTATTTATAAATAACATTTCACCACCATTTTTAAGTAACATCACAGAAGTCTAAAAGTAATATCACATAGTCTAAAAAGTAATATTACTTTTTAGAATATGTGATATTACTTTTAGACTTCTGTGATGTTACTTATAAATGGTGGTGAAATGTAAAAATATGTATACATCTAAATATGTAACACCCAATTCAGCAAATTCAAGTTTTGGCCTAAATTTTAGACACCTAATTGAAAAAATCGATCTAATTGTGCAATTTTAACATTGGACATTATTTTGAGCACTCAACTAAGAAAATTCAAATAAAATTAAGAAATCAACCAGGGTTAGAATAATTTTTAGCATTTTCACAAATAAATTAATCAAATTAAGCATATATTCAACAAATTATGAAATTACTTGAAGTGCTTGCATTTTCAAAAAATATAATTTTTTTTTGAGGCATCAACTACAATAATTCAATAAAGAAGTATTATTTGTTTTAACAAAAAGAATTAATGACGAAATACAATTCCCAGATTCTGAAATTTATAAATGGTGGTGATGTTACTTTTTAGACTATTTTTACATTTCACCACCATTTATAAGTAACATTACAGAGTCTAAGAAGTAACATCACCATTTGTAAAAGGAAACATTCCCACTTTTAATTTCAAATAATAACATAAATGATATGTTGAATTGAGTTATGTTTATATGTGACATTACTTAGTTGCATTATGTGCATGTTTTATTTTGAGGGTGAAAATGGTTTATTACTTAAGTGGTAATGTTGCCCTTTTACAAATGGTGATGTTACAAAAGTGGTGATGTTTCCTTTTACAAATGGTGATGTTACTTTTTAGACTATGTGATATTACTTATAAATGGTGGTGAAATATTATTTATAAATAGTGGTGTAATTGGCCAAACACGACCTTAGTGTCCGTTAGCT